CAAAAAATCGATATATCGGTTTATTCTCATTAACATCATTGAAAGAGGTCGGATCTAATTCGATATGATGAAGAATTCCTATGGTGACGTCACCACTGATAGCGTATATTTCGATTGAGCACCCGGCGCAGTGCCGGACAACGGATGACGTCAGCGGAGATCGGAGTGGCGTCACTGAAAACAAGAATGAAAACAAATTTGGCAGGGCCGCACGTCGATGTACACTATTTTGGCCACGTCAAAAAAGCGATACATCGATTTATTCTCTTTAATATCATTGAAAGAGGTTGGATCCAATTCGATATGATGAAGAAATCCTATGTTGACGTTACCACTAATAGCGCATCTTTCGGTTGAGCACCCGGCGCGGCGCCGGACAAGGGATGACGTCAGCGGAGGCCGGAGTGACGTCACTCGGGATGGAGAGGGGAGGCGGTGGGGGTATTAAAATTTCAACTGTGCAGTGATCGAACCGCGCGGGAGTGCAGTGGCTCAATGATGCTATTAGGTGTATAAAAATGAGGAGTTATAACCGTGGTAATACGGTTAAGTGTTGCCTCGCTTTGTAGGTCAGGTTTCACCCGAGCGGAGGCGCTGTTGCCGTTATTGCGATCCAGCCTCGTTGCACGCGTGAAAATCTGCCGTGCTGAGGAAGCACGCCGCAGAGTCGTCGAGTCAAAAGGAGGGGTCGGAAAAAATATGGATACTTTAAACGCTTATAACTCCGTTTATACAAAACTTTAAGGTTCCAAAAGTGGTGAAATTGGTTTCCTCGTGAAATTTTCTTCTAAATCACCCCTCATAATGTAAAATGTGACGAAATAAACATCAAAATTTGGAATTTCAACGAAAAATTCTATGTCCGATCTCTCTGATTTACTCGATCCACGGTGCGCCGTTAGAGTCTTCAGACGATGCCAAATTTCCTTGGAAAAATCGCAAATTTTCGGGAATACTTGTGAATAATTTACTTCAGACTTTTCAAAGAAATCTGTTCGTTGTTGGGCCTTAAGTGTTAGCTTTCATGGAAAAGTATTACAGTTACGTTAGTGCGGATTCCTTTGAAAATGTTACGGGATTTGCTTTGTATCATGGAGAAAATTCATAGAAATTTGCACAAAAATCTGCACAACCGTTTTCATGTAAACAATTAAATTGCCCGATTAAATTCGGCAACGGCTGATGTGGCTTGGTTCCTTTCTGTTTAACGCGGTCCAATTGTGGGTATGTTTATTGCACGCTGTGGCGCGGCGTGCGCGTGCTGCCGCTGCCAGCTCGAAACGCGCACTGGCGCCTACAAACCGAAGGGGATACTTCAAGCATTGCGCAATGCGTGAAGTATCCCCTTAGGTTTGTAGGCGTCAGTGCGCGTTCCTCACCGGCAGCACGCCGCGGAGCCCCCCAATGGGCGGGTGGTGAACGATTTCTTGCGGGGAAAGCTACCTAGCGGAGAAACTCTTATATCGTATAATTGTTTTTTTTTAATTTTTGACTTTTAAAATTACACACTGCTCGTGAGAAGTAATGAGTGAACTCTCAACGCTACATGAAGTGTAATAATTAAAGGGAGGTCGTGCGTCATGCGCGCTGCGGACAGCGCAGGGCGGTTCATGAAATTCTCCCCTGTACTCTGTCGAGTTCAGGCTGAAAACAAACATGTCCGACTGCTATTGATATACATGATCTAAGAGCCACCTCACTAAAAGCACATGCATCTTCACTCTTAACAAATTTTCGTTCACCCAATTTTCTCATCTTTATCAAGAGCAAAACGGTCATATTTTATTTCGGCCAAGACTGCAAAGTTATTGAAATTCAAATCTCACGCCGCGGCCCTTGTGCCGTGACCAAAGAGCTGTGTTTCGGCCAAAGGAGTATATAGACAGAAAATACGGACAACCAACGAGTTAAAACATGGAGCTATAAGGGCCCATAGGGGCAGCCACGTCTAACAAAAAAATGTCACAGCCAATCTTCAGATTCTAATATCAAACCAAGATGGCCAAGGAAGTTCATAAATGTGCGTCCTTTCGCAAAAATAAGTGAATTGATGCAAAATCTAAGTAGAATACGTGCTTCAAAAACGACTGGTCTTGACAATTGTAATAATAATTCACCCTGGATAAGTTGAATTCATAGATTGGCGGCTCTTTTGGGCTCTAAAAGCTCCTGGACCAAAACTTAAAATCACCGATGTGGTGGTACCCTAATTGGACCGCGTTAAACAGAAAGGAACCAAGCCACATCAGCTATTGCCAAATTTAATCGGACAATTTAATTTTTTACATGAAACGGTTGTGCAGATTTTCGTGCAAATTTCAGTGAAAATTCTCCATGGTGCGAAGCAAATTCTTCAAAAGTTCCAAAGAAATCCGGACAAACGTTCTCTCGAAAAAAAAAATTAGGGCTGATGTCGCTCGGTTCCTTTCTGTTAAACTCGGTCCAATTAATTGTAGTAGTGCCCTGTTAAATTAGATTACTATCCAAAATGTTGCGGTGCAACCACAATTAATTGGAAATGTCCATATCATCCAACATACTGGGGTGGTGCCACAATTTGAGAGGATAACCCGTAACATTTTTTTTCGCGTATAGGTATACTTTAGGGTCGGCAAGAGCATGCCTACGTTTCGTTTACCTTGGGTAGGCCTCCCTCATCTTCTTTTCCCTCTTCTTCTTTTTCGTTTTTGTGGGAACGAAGTAAAAATCGGCAACACTGTGAGAGAGGAAGTCCACTCGGGACAGCGCTTAATCCTCCCTGTGCCTTATCAATCGGGCCCAATCAATTATCGACGGGCACTTGAAGCGATTACTGACTGTTTTCTCGCACCTCGCCGCCGGCCGCCGGGAACAAATCGCCCTGCTCCCGGGTCGCCCCGACATCCGACACACTCCCCTGTCGTTTGTATGGGTGCTGCCCTTCCGAGTTCCGCCCGCGAGGAAAAAGTGTCGCTCAACCCCCCCCCCCCTCACCCCTCACCCATCCGGTGTGAATGGGGGCAGCAGTTCGTGCTGTCGGGTGGGTCGGAGTAGCCAAACTGGGCTGAGAATGCAAAAGAATCAGTCACGACTAGATTACCAAAAAGGGAGGAGTAAGGACATGTCGGTAATTTTTTGAGGTTAGATCATGGGGCTTTTACGGCTCAAAAGGGTAGCCAACCTATGAACTCATATTATCTGTAATTATTTACTTTTACACTTGCTACGACTCGTTGCGCGTAAAGCACGTGATGAGCCTGTTGAAAACTTTTGCTATAGCAAAAATAAGAATTGTTACTCATGGAAAGTGTCTCAAAAATCACGATGAGCTCATCGGTAAAGTCTGAAATACACTCCTTACTTCACAATATGCGTTTGTTCGAGCTTCCTGCTCACAAGGATACCACGCAATATTCAACATAGCCGACGCCAATCCGCCGAATCACATGAGACGGGACGATGATTCTACCATCTGATAACAGTCGGCGTATTTACATTCACATTTTTCTCGCGATGATGTAGATATCCGCCTTGATTGACCTCGTGCTCTTCTCAACTTGCGCGCGGAAGCATCGGCCATGTTGAGCAGGTATCAAATGGAACGACTTTTCTAACGAAATGTTCACCTGTGCCATAGTATCCTTTTTGAAGCGGGAAGCTTAAAAAAACGCAAATCTCTTACGCATATTGCGTGGTTAGGAGTTCTTTTCAGAGTTTGCCGATGCGCTCATCGTGATTTTTGACACATTATGGATAAGGATCAACTTATATTTTTGATCTATCAAAAGTTTGCAACAGGCCCATTGACTTAGTTGTTAAGTTTACTCATGTGTGCGGAAAGACGCTCGTTTATGAATATTCTTTGCCAAATATAAAATATCTTGGGAAAATGTAACAAATAAACAGTATAACGTGACAACCTTGCGTTAGGTTTAACTGCACTCCGACGGAAGCTGGTGACATGGATGAATCTTGCATGCTGCAGCAAGCGTCGCGCGTCGTGAATGGGTTTAAATCACCCCGAAAGGCTCGCGGATTTTTTTATCCGTTTTAGCACCGAGCTAAAAATCCTAGATAAAACCTTCATTTGTACCTAAAAACGGCTGAAATTTACCACGTTCATGGAGAAAAAGATTCGTGAAAAAATTTGACTGCACTTTTCACGGCAATGGAGAATTTGCATGTGTCTGAAATTGTGTAAATTCCATGTTTAAAATGAAACTGCTGAGAAAACTGAGCATGAGGATATCCTTGGTTTCTACATTGAACAATTAACCGAGGAAATATAACCTAATTTGCCAAAATACATGTGTTTAAATGGAAAATGCCGCCAGATGACGTCACGCTGCGGCACATATTCTTACTTTTAAATCTATTTTTCTCCGATTTCCCATTTAAGAAAAAAATTATGAAAAATACTCCGAACTCAGCTTATTAAGCACTCTTAGATGAAACAATACAATTTTTGTGTGCAAATTCTCCATTGTGAAATTTTAGGTTCAAAATAACTGAAATACCCGGATTTTGCCGCTATTTTCTGTGTTTGCGCATATTAATAATCAAAATAATCAACGTTATTTATTAGAATTCATTCAGCATCTCTAGGGAATACTGAAGGAAAATCTAAAAAGTTTTCATGTTTGAATGTATGTTCACTTTTGTTTCCTGGCAATTAAGGAAACACGAAGATTTCTGAAAGTTGCGATTCGATTTCATCAAAAAGAGAGAATCGATCTGGAAACATAATAATGAAAAAAAAAAAAAAAAAAAAAAAAAAAAATACTTGGAAACACTGGGAAAAAGTTGCTTGGATCTAGAGTCCAGACTCTTAAAACCATTGACAAGAAAAAATATCATGGAATCGAGAACCAAGCCTCTTAATTTAAGTGTATTTCCTTTTGATTCAAGCAAAATTCCGATTGTATCAAGATTATTTTTTCTTGTCATTTTTTTCAAGAGTCCGGACTCTAGATCCAAGCGATTTTTTTTCAGTGAATTACGTCAGAGCAACAATTTTTTACCTGTTTTCAAGAGCGCATTCACCATTTTTGACCTTACAGCTACTTCGGAAGTCCTCGTACATCTCCGAACACTCGCGTTGTGTCAAACAAATGTCCAAAGCGTGATTGCACGTCGGTAGCGTGTCAACTGGGAACGGGTCTTTTTCTGAAACAAAACACAAAATTTTAAGTGAATTTCAACTAACGTGGAGCTGGTTACTAAAATTTTTAATCTGGTGAAATAAGAGCTACAATTTGTAAGTTTTAAGTATAGTGCAGTTTTGATAGTTTGGATTATTGGTATGGATAGATTAGTATGGACAGATTATTGTGACCTCTCTCTTAGCATTGATTTTTTTTTTTCATTTAAGTGCTACAGTTTACCAAAATTATCGCACATTCACGCAACGCCAATTTTTGATTACAATCTCTGGTTCTGTGAGAAGAAGCAGTCTGTTCGCTCGAGTGAGAGCTATGATCGTTGAACTAAAACGCGTGGAGCTGAAATTGTTTTTCCATGGAGGATTGTAAGATAAGGGATTGAATCTCACCTTTCTTGGAGACGAACATGCAGGGGTGATCGAAGAGGAAGTTGCGGAAGGAGTTGCACTCTTGGTCGACTTGCGGCTCGCGGCAGAGGCAGGTCGGCTTGAAGAACGGGAACGCTTGGAGAATGCGCAGCGCAGCCTGGCACTTGGTCACCGTCGCCGTCGAGCAAGAAACTGCAACAAAAAACGAAATCTTTTACAAATCTGGAGCCCATGTTTTCATACATACATACATATAAGTCGCTTTACAGCACTTCCTCGCGCTCTACGACTCCTAACCTCCACTGCTCTCTTTCAAACCACAAATCGATCGAGTAGACACAGGTATTTTCTCGATCGATTCGGTATTGATCTCAGCTCTGGCCGATGGATTCACGTTTTTATTTGGACTACATTTTGCAATTAAGAACTATAAATTTCGGCCCGGTTTAAAAACAACGTATGTGCCATTAGTTTCTCTGTGCACATGAGTGTTTTTTCGAATGAGTTAGAATTTATAGCCCCAAATTGGAAAATGCAGTCCATTTTTCGAGCCCATGTTTTCCATGGACATAAATCCATAGCTCGAAGAATGGACGGCATTTTCCAATTTGGAGCTATAAATTCTAACTTATCTGAAAAACACGTATGTGCACAGAGAAACTAATGGCATATACGTTGTATTTAAACCGGGTCGAAATTTATAGTTTTTAGTTGCAAAATGTAGTCCAAATAAAAACGTGAATCCATCGACCACAGCTGATCCATACCGAATCGATCGAGAAAATATTTCTGCCTTTCGATCGATATGACTAGATCGAAAAATGAAAACTTGGATCGATCGACGTGAGACGATTGACACCGATTCGGAAACCTGAATTCCTTGCCTCAAGATTTAGCATATTATGTCACTTAATTCCTTTTGATTCAACGTCAAATCCCAATTTTGCATTTTCTCAAAACAAATCGCCCCCACCTCCACATTGTTTCTTATGTAGCTTGCCGGAGCATACCCCATCTTTCCCGCACGCGTTAGTTCCGTTTAGCATGAATACGTCCGATAAACATTTTAAAAACAGCATAATTGTTATTAGTTTCCCTATGCAGATGCACGACGTAATATCCTGAGATTGTAGTTCCTTTTTGCAAAGTTCAGTCCAATTTTGAAACAGCACAACGGACATATGGACCGCGTTCAGCAGAAAAGAACCTGCGGCGCGGCGTGCTGCCGGCTCGAGACGCGCACTGACGCCTACAAACCTAAGGGAATACTTCAAGCGTTGCGCAATGCGTGAAGTATCGACTTAGGTTTGTAGGCGTCCGCGGCTCTCCCGGCACTCGGCAGGCGGGTTGTGACCGATTTTTGGTGGGGAGAGCTCCCTGGCGGAGAAACTCGTGTATCGTGTATTTTTTTTTTTCATTTTTTCATAATTTTTGACTCTTAAAATTAAACACTGTTCGTGTGAAGTAAATAGTGAACTCTCAATGCTAGATGAATTGTAATAATGAAAGGCTGGTCGTGCGCCATGCGCGCTGCGGACGGCGCAGGGCGTCTTATGAAATTATCCGCTGTGCTCTGTCGATCTGGTAGCTGCAATAAGCTATCAGATGAATTTAAAAAATACATGTAGATAAAACTCAAAACAACGAAAAACCTAACTAAGAACACGAAAAAATAACCCGGAATTGACGAGACCCACGGTGAGAACAGAAAGTAAATAAGTTTTCGATATGGCGTCGCAGTCGTACTGCGCTGGTTACACGCTCAAATTTCCATCGATCTCCGATCAAATGATGACTGGTGCGCACCATCTACCATGAAATTTCTGCGGCCTGCAAAAATTTGATGGTAGATGATGGAGCTGTGGGGCTAATCCTTCATCTGATTTCCACACAACCGTGCTTATTTCAATCGACACGCTGTTTTAATTAATATTACTCGTCAATCTAGATAACTATCGACCGCCATCTTGGCCATCATTTTGATCGAAATTTGACGGGAATTTGCTCGTGTAACCAGGCCATACCATTACACGCTGTCAAATTTACGTCTTTCGATGACTTTCTAAAATGGACCACTAGACAAGGTACGAATTTAAGCGATCTGATACATGTTTCTTAACCAGAATTTCACGTAGAGAACGATTCACACAACGAAAATTACGGAAACCAACTCCTAACGAAGATATTAACGTTTTTATTTCACATTGGTCACGAGGAATTTGCACTGCCCGCTCACAAGAAACTCGAAGCTCTACGTGAGTCAAATCGCGCACTACAACGGTTTCAGCAAGCTTCTCAATCGAGCAATGTTCATTTCCCATCATGTGTTGTTCAAACTATTAGCAATTTGCTATAACTGAGCCAAAGCGTCAAGATTGAGGTTGCCAGATTTTTATATCGCAGAGACCGTCATGATAACGTTTAGCGCGCGATGTGAATGACGCAGACCATTGAGTTTTCATGAGCGGGTGGTTTGAATTCACGCATTAAGAATCATTAAATATCTTCGTAAGGAGTTAATTTCGGTAATTTTTGTTGTGTGCATCGTGTTTTATGTAAAATTTTGGTTATGAAACATGTATCAGAATGCTGAAATTCGTACCTTATCTAGTGGTCCATTCCGTTTGTCCATACCTGTATAGGGGAGTGTGCCTTGGTCCATTGCGATGGGTCGAATCATGAATACGCTGGAGGCGATTTGCATGAGCTCTTGACAAAGACACACGCCTCGTCACGCTTGTCTATTATCCCGTTGGAGCCGCAGCGGGGCGGGGGCGGGGGGAGGGGGAGGGGGCAATCCATATCGAGCAAGATGTAAGGGTGAATACATAACCTCAAACACACTTCCTCCGGATGCTGAGACCCGGGCTCCGAGTTGGATGACCCGGACCCGCAGTCGAGAGTTGACCCAGTCACCCACTAAAAGCGACCCGGGTCTGCGACAAAAGGAAACAGACTCCGACCCTCCCCCGCCCGCCGCCACCCCCTCTCCTCCCTCCGCGGACCCTCCTCTTTAATTCGGAGCAAATTTGCCGGCCGTATCCATCCGCCCCAGTTGTACTCATCGCTCGCAATTACCGTTCTTTATCGGAGAGCCAGCTCACCGTTCATCGTTGCCGCTTTGTGTGAAGATACGTTCGTAATAAATAAATCGGAATTCAGTGGTCAAATATACTGCCGTGCTAAGGAAAAACGTCGTATGGACCTTCAGGTGTTGCCATATTTCCTCCGATAAAACGCAAATTTGTTGGTAAACTAATGAATATTTTCCTTCCAGTTTTTCAGATGTATTTTGTTACACTATATTCATGGACATATTTAAATCAAGACAAATTTTATTCATTCTGATATGAGCCGTGAGATCCATATAGCCAGATGCATGGCATGGATATAGTTAAATTTCATTTAAATGCGTTCGGTTATGAATATTTTTCCTGGGGATTTTCAAATATTTCAGGTAAAATTATAAATTGGATTCCCTGCAGAGTTGGAAGAAAAATGTTCACCATCTTACTTGAAAACTTATTTGTAATTCTGCAACGTACAATAGCTTAAACTGCGCTAATCTTCATCACGGGAGAGTTGCTATCTTGAGCAATTGACTAGATGCGCGTTCGAGTTGATCCAGGCGTCGTGATACAACTATTCGTGCTCTACGGATACGCGTGGTTGCCTATACGAACAATTTAAGGCGTTTTCGTTTTCTTGGCGTTCTGGGTGCGCGGATATGGCTTGCGGCGCGACGCGACGGCACATGCGGCACGCAATGCTGCCGTGCTTAGGAAAAAGGCCGTATGAATCTTTAGGCGTTGCCAAATTTCCTTTGATAAAACACGAATTTCCTGGTAAACTAATGAATATTTTCCTTCCAATTTTTCAGATAATTTTGTTCGCAATTTCACCGAAAGTCCCGGACAATTTCAAGGAAGAATGTTCTCATCTTTTCTGAAATATAAACAGTTTATCGAAGGAAATTTGGCATCTCTCGAATGTTCATACGGCGTTCTTCCTTAGAACGGCAGTATTGAGTACCTCCACTGCCGCGCTAAGGGAAAACGCCGTATGAACTTTTGAACATTGCTAAATCGACACTCAAAAAATACTTCTTTTTAAAATAAAGTTAAGAATATTTTTCATTTAAATTTACATACAATTACATGAAATTTGGAAATAAATACTTGCAAATTTTCCCGACAGTTCATAACTTGTATGGCAACTTCTAAAGACTCATACGACGTTTCTCCTTTTCACGGCAGAATACAGGGTATCCCAGGATTAAGTACAAATATTTAAGGAGTCAATTCCTTGGGTCAAAAAAATACGGTTTTTCGGCATAACTGTTTTTCCAAAAACACTTTCCCTGGAGGCCAGGTCTCCCCAAAGTTAGAGAAAAAAAATCGTCCTTTTAACACTGTGCAAATGTTTATCAACCAAGATTAATGAAAATTTGTGTCTACGAGTAATGTTTAGCGTTCTTTTCATTTTTGACCATAGAGTACATAGAGTCGTAATGTAAATGGGAGAGCTGGCGCCATGTTCTGCTCGACGAGTTCCGAGCCCGGTGTGCGCCGAGTTCGGGTCACTTTTTCGATACATTTTCGATCCAAAATGGCGGTGTGGAATACATGGTGATTCCTATCTCCTTCGTTGTTGTTGTTGTTGTCATCGGATGGCCGGGTACCCGTGTATCGCAAACAATCGATTATGTATCGAAAAAGTGACCCGGCGTCACACAGGAGTCTCGGAATTCGGGACATGGAAAATGCTTAAAAGTGGCGCCAGCTCTCCCAATTACATTACGACTCTATGTACTCTATGTTTTTGACCTACAAAAAAAATGTTAAACTCTTTTAGAGGGGGGTTTACAGGGGGGTATCAAACCTAAAAGAGGCCAAAATTAATGTTTCTGGCGACAAAAATTGGGGGGGGGGTTGCGCCCTCTACGCCTTCTATGCATCTTCTTTGTTTATAGCATTCTCTTTGAATTTCAATAATCAGCCCGTAAAAAGAATCTTCAAGGCGGCTCGAAACTTCCGAATAAAATTAGCTTGTTTCCGATGGCATTTAGTATTTAATACTATTAGTGCTGCTCTCACCATCCACCGTTTCACCCGCAAATTGGATGACGAGGCGGCATCGGTGAGCCGGCGGCGGCGGTCGGTGCAATGTGAAACGCGCCCGGGGTCCTTGCG